ATAAACAAATGGTTTATGCACTCGTGGCACAAGAGAGCTCGAAACTGGAGTATTATGATAAATAAACAATATTGCATATCATACACGTAGTAAAATCTCAAATCTTTTCTGTTCATTTAAGTTGAAAAATTGGTCACAACCGGTCATAAAATAGAGTATATTGAGAATATTATGCATGAGTGAACCGAAAGCTTACTTGTTTACCACCTCGTGCATCACTAAGTTTGTAGTATTCAAATTTTCAATTTAACCAATAAACAACGTTTTAATTTAAAATAAAGGTTCAAATTTCACGAATCTCATACAACTAAATGTTGAATATTAAAGCTAAGATATCAAATTTCAGTTTGAATACAAGTAAAACAATGACTTTTCACTGATTATATTTTGATTATTTCGCCAAAGTAATAAGCTACACAACTGACACGATTGTATTGTGTCTTCAGTCTATTCAAATAACTGCAATAATTTTGTACTGAAATGTCATTTCCATCAAGGCCTAATTGATATAASAATAGTTTATTGAAGTTAGTCTTAAAATCATTCAAAAACCAGGAAATTCAAGCAATCTATCTACATTGTAGCTTACGGACTGCTACTTACCACGGGCTATTCYAGGCTTGATGGTAGCCCCTTTACCAGACAATAATAAGCTGAAGAATGCTAAAAAAGCAACTGAATGCATATTTGATTGTACTTTATGTCAARGTTTATATTTTTTCAGTTTAAARAGATMGTGTCATAGTTAATGACTGATCATGCCGTCATGCACCTTTCAAAATCCAATGTCGACTCTTTTGAGTGGTTTCCATGCCGACGTCGTCTCTACGTGTATTACTATATTCCTCTGGGAACAGCGTATATTGATTACTGTAATTTGAATGAATAGAGTCTGTTCATGGCCCTCTGAACTTAATAAGATAGAGCTTATGGTCTAATCCCCTATGTTTTGACTTCATTTATTGGCGAAAGCCGCTACTAAGCGTGATTTCTCGATTCACTGTTTATTAAAGACGAGGCTCCCTGCTCCCCTTCTCCAGAGAGAAAGGTCTTGTTAATTACAGGCTTTAATTCAGTTCGCATAAACCTTTTCTGAATTTTAAAAGACCATGCCCTTGTTTGTCTATTTTCAGTACAAACAACAATTCGGCAGCATGAACAAAATATGTTTGTAGTAATTGTAATATTTTTAGGCGTGAATAGGGACCGGTTTGCGCTGGCAAAGACACAGTCATTGTATTAAGCTTGATGAACCAAAATCGTGCAACCCATAGCTGGAAGCCCCTAGGGAGTAGAGCCGCCTTACCTCAGTGTTCTAATAAAAAACCCGTGTGAACACCCGTTTCATAGTTCTAATGACTTTTTCCCGGCTATTTTTAGTGCATGAAAGGCAAAGGCATTTATGTGTATTAGCGCTTATGTAAACACGAGCCAACGATGGCGCGCGTTATATCTCAAACTTTAGAAATCAATAAATAACAGTCAGACAACATCTGAATATCAATCTACTTCATGTTATAGTTTCATGTTAAAATGGCGTCACTATTCAAAATACAATGATTTAAAAAAAATTCAAATTGCGCATGCCCGCATTGCACTTTGGATATTATACATATTTGAATAGAAAAGTTCAGATATAATGATTAAGTGCTGCAGAATGAGCATTTATCACATAAAATGCGTTAASAGTAAGTCATACTTAACTGTTAATTATAAAACTAGTTATAATATAAAAATGGCACATGAGTAATAAAGTTGACGGCAGCCTCGATGTCGCCAAGTCGACCTCGTCGSTTCTCTYTATATTTAACWAAGCAGTTTTACTCAAACTTAATCACAATAGGTTGCCTTTGTTACAAATAACTTCATGTTTATCGATTCGTCMTACATATCGATCAATTCGTCTGAATGATAGTTGACCAGTAGTACACTAGTACACTACAAGTGCTTAACTRCAACTGCAGTACACCAGCTAAATCCGTTTGGTTCATTAAAATACTATAACAGTTGTCAAATTACAAAAATGTTTTACTAAACTGACGAACATGCATTCACTACATTTATACATAATGTTTTCTATTTTCCATGCCTTTTTATCAATAAAAACTATATTACACAGCAACTTTCAATGTCCTTGATACAAGAAAGATAATAGAAATCTCTAAAAGCACATCTAGGGAAGATATCGATCGGCCATGAAAGAAGAATCTGTCGTACAACTTCCATATATGGAGGTCTTCGCTCATGTAAAAATAGAAGGCTCCAATGTCCCTATAAAAGGTTTATTAATTATACATTCAATCTTATATACATATACGTGTTTGTTCACGGATGTCCTTAAATGAACATCACAGAATTTCAGGCTGACTCAAGCGAATTGTACGTACTCATTGCTTAATTGTTAGGTTTGGGAAAAATATAGACTTAGCGAATGCATAGCACTGATTCAATTCTTCACGCGCATTCCTTAAAAGAAAAAAAATTTTCAGTTTAAGTAAAGTTTTTGAAAATTTTCTAAGTTCTTCTTCAAATAATGAAACACGAGAGCCTTCTATGTGTACATTAGTGGCGTGTACATGTGCAACCATATATGGAAGTCGTATGACCGATCTTTCTCGTTTTTGAAGACTATGTGGCTTTGAGTTATGACATCATATTGTGACATCATTATTACCCACACTTCATCGCGGGTTTTAGTGCAACGTCGCGTTTTTCATAACTTGGTTTTTCATTATTTTTTTTACTATTCTACTATAAAATTCTAAGTTTATTTAATCTAATRATTTAAAGTGATTATATTGATGTGACTTTATATTTATCTTCAACGTTGTCGTAAAAATTGCGGTCCGATGGCGGTGAGGACTCGTAAGGTTCTGGAGATGGCGTACGATTGCTGCTACCATTGCCACTACCCCTCCCGCTTCCCCTCCCGCTCAACGTCGAACGGCCAAATGTAGATAAGTCAACGTCTGCGGATTCATTGTTGTCGAAGTCTAAGTTCAGGTATGTTTCCTTGGATAAAAGGAAAAGAAAAACAATCAGTCACTGTTGATAAAAAAACTGTTCCATGAATGAAATTAAAGAAAAAAAAAAAGCAAAAAATTAGTTTCAGAAATGCAGCTTTAGTAACAAATTTATTGGGTAATTTAATACTAGATTTCAACAGCGTAACCAATGACTYACCCTGGACTCAAACAGCGGATTGGAAGTGTTTAATTTCTCTTTGTAACCATTGCGTATTCCACCATTACTGGAGAGAAAAAATTAATACATGGTTCAATACGAAATACTTMTTTGAATCTAACCTGTCCTCATTCCCAGGCTATTTGCCTTCCTATTATGAAGTCTACATTTCATTGTAGCCTGTCTGCTTTCCCTCGGCATAGCAGCAGAGTGCTGCTATGTCGAAACCAAGCAAAATATGTCCGATATTATAACCATTAAGAAAATGTGCCATTTTTCATAAAAGGGTTTATATTGTAAACTATATAGTGATACTTACGAAACAGATCCATTGGTTTTGAATGTACGGAAATCAGCACTGCAAATACAAGAAAATTAGAATTACACAAMTAGTAATACTCGGAATTCCATGTTAAGTTCGAGGACCGTCCAGTGAACATTCAATAACAACCTGCGTCCATTAGAGAGAGTTTTGTTCCCAAACACCTTCCCAAACAGGGAGGCTTTAAATTGGGCTACGAAAATTTAAATAGTGCAAATTAAAAGAAAATAAAGAATTACCCTSTTAGTTTTAAAAATCTACTAAAACATTATCAACCAATAGAAAGAAAAGTCGTTACAAGCAGAAACGAAATATATTCGCACAATGAGAAATGGGAGAAAATAATACGTGCTCTGTCTAATTGGTTTTAAACAGCCAAATTTTCTAAGACATAGCCTAGTAGGCCCCTAGTATATAGCCACCTCTTTTCTCATCCCCTTTTTTTGTTATTAGTGATTTCAACATTAATATTTATTTTTCTTTGTAGAATGTCTGTTACATGTAAAAGGAGATTACTTATTCTCCTCCTTAATTGTAAATAACTATATGTTGTATGTAAACATTAAAAAAAAATAGAATTACCCTGGATCGTCGTCGTCGTCCATGCCCCAATTGTGATACGGGTCAACCCAGATTGGATTAGATCTGCGTAATGTACAAATAATAATATTTTCACTTAAAAAACCAACAACAACAACAACAGCAACTTAACACTAGCATGCAGCTATTTCAGAGAGAAAAAAAACGCTGAGTGCTGAGAGCAAAATTCACCGTTGATGTTTTTGATTCTGCGCCAATGGTTTAAAAAACTGACACATCTGAATACAGCTTGCATTTCACCATGGATAGTAAAACCCTATCTAGAGCCATTTTAAAACAAAGCATTTAAGTATTGGAATGCACTATTATCAGTACTATACTGAGCGTTTTCTGAGACAGCTCTGAAAAAACAGCTGAAAAATACTAAAGCGGATTGGAAAAAAAATGAAGAGGTGAATTCCACTCAGAGACTTCCGCAATTTCTGAGTTGCAAGTCTTCATTTAGAGATCTGAATTTTTTTTCCGTATATATTTCTGTGTAGGTTGTTTTTTTTTAACTTAATAATGTCTTCCCAAGATTTTTCTAATAGTCAACCCTTTTAGATCATTTCAGTTTTCTTGGAGACTTACCCTTCATGGTTGTGTAGATTGGTGTTTGGTAATGTAGACATCGAGCTTCTTCGTGAMACATGCGAGCTTCCTGTTAATAAAGAATTAAAATAAACAAAGTTAATTTCATAAATAGTAAAATTTTCAGTTATGAATGACTTATTCAATCAACCTTTTATGACAAGAAATGAAGAAATGCCGCTATGACTGAAATTTGATAATGAATTGTTGGGATTAAATAAGGCCATTAAACTTTCGTGCTACAGAGAACTGTTGTGACTAATTTAGACTTTTATTAAAGCTCAAAAGACAAAGTTTTCCTGCCTATGCACAACAAACACAGACACATACAAAAATGTAAAAGTTTAGCACTTGCAAGTTCATTCATTTTTGGATTTTGGAATTTCGACAACCATATTAGATAATTGCGTCATTAAAGATGGCTGCCAATCGCTGCCAATGCATTTTATCTATTATTGCTGACTGAGCTAAATAACCAGGTAGAGTACAAACATTAAATGTGTGCAACACTTTCAACTATTTACTACCAAATAGCGTTAATCAAAAAATAGGAAACAATAGAATTAACATAATTTAGCATAATTTAGTGGTATTTATATTGGACAGTTTTAGTGTTTGTACTCTATAGTTCAGTCATTTTAAATTGTAAATGCTTGAAACTTGGTCAAAATGCGAAAGGTCCTTGCAAAAAATCTCATTTTTACCTCCATAACTTTGTGCTTGGGCAGCTCGAAGTCTTCGTTTTTGCCTGAAATCAAGAAGAATTAATTTATTAGCGAAATTTGTAGTTAGAATTTCCAGTTAAAATTTATTGTGCGTATAAGACTATCCAAGGAAAAAATTAAACAAAGTCAATGATTTTGCGCAAAAATGATTTATTTTTTGTCTTAAAATCATCCTGTACAAACGCACAATCACTTTTTTGCTCGATTGCGCCCACGGAGAACACTGTAGTGGTAGTTAGTGTGCAAAGAAAAGTCTCTAGAGATGAAAAGATAAATACAACATGCTGAGAAATATCTTAATCTCTRCAAAAATCTCTATAAGCGGGTCAAAAAAATAAATAACTGATCTCAGTAATAATGAAACTTTTTTTTTCACTATTGCTAATTAGTGATTGTGCCCGCAATTTCGCGGAAAAAGCGGATTTAAATGCATAAAACATGCGCTGTTTATGAATCMAAGCGAAACAGTTAGGTCCATATATAGACTTGATTCTACTTAGAATTAAATATTCATGAAATTCAGCCATGTTTGATTTGAAAGTGTTTGTGGTCACTGCTTGAAAAAATAAAAATCAAATTTCCGACGATCTCCATGAATGATGTGTTCTTAATAATCATATTTTTAATAATCAACATATGAAATAATTCTAAGAATAATTGTGACACTTTTTAATCTTGCTGTAACAATAATTACATAATTCATGATTTATGAGTCAAGTTGAAAGAATTTTAAGTCAAAAATTGTTCAAAATGTTCTATTTTTTTTGCCAAGGACTTTATTTCCATATTTCATTCATAGTCACTTCAATCCAGTAATTTCCACAGGAAATCTTCCGTTTAAATTTAAAAATGTTTTTGTCAATATTCATTATGGAAGTTTGTTTGAATTAAATTAAAAAATTAATGAAGACATCACAGTCTATTGTTATATACAACACGTATATCAAAATTACAACTGTTTTAATGTTCAAAATCGTTTAAATTATCACTGCAATCTATAGTTACTGTTTAAAGTTGTATTTGGTAGATGTATAGTTATTTATCCTGTAGCAGATACATTGAAAACAATTACAAAAAATAGCCTTTGATATTTACAGCATATTGTGGAGGAAACGCTTTAGCAAATCATATCCCTTCCCTTTCCTACAAATAATTAAATKCAATGCAGAGCSCAAAAACATCCSSCGAATTCATTTACTGTGATTATGCAAATGCAAATAAMATTGGATGTTGAAACTGATACTCTCTRAGAAATGTTTATGTCATAAAGTCCAAAATTTCGCCAGCATGTTCCAATTAGACTGAACAAAATGTTATTRCTAAATTCRMTGYCTTGKCGAGGTAGAGGAYATCAGTCTTCCGGGCCTCTAATACAATGGTTGCCAATGTGTTATTTACTAAAAGCGGAGCATTGCTAATGAAATTTTGACTTGAAATTTTCTGACATTTTAGAAGTTTATACTGTGAGATATTTTGAGATATTTGATTTTAAAAGTTTTAAATAAGTTAGAMCTTCTTTGTCTACTTGGTGAGAACATTTGGTCCTAAAAATATTTATGACCTAACTACCACTCTCAATCAATAATAAAAACGTTCTTAAGTTATAATACTATATTTTTGGCGGTGATATATTAAAATATCTATAATGCATTTTATCTTGTGTGTTTCTGAGTTATTGAAGGTATACTTTTATCTTAATCTTTATTATTCATTTATTTTATTATTGTATGTTTTGTATTTGTTTTTATAAGAAATAAGAACGAATTGTAGTCTCCTTCACATGAAACATGCACATGTGATATACATCGGTTGCATCTGGTCGTCACCACCATGTGGGATGAATGTTTGTCTATTGTCTGAACWTGCGCAGCTTTTACTATTTAACTCTAAATTTCAAGTGTTCCTAATTGGACAAATGTCTTCATGACTTTATATTATAAATGAAACTGCATAATATGGGAATTGATCATGGTATTGTTTCAGAGCCGCGTCTGCTCGACAACTACATAGTCGCAAGATGTCGGCTCTTTTGGTAAATTTCTCCACGTTCCACGTTCAAAGTCAACCGTGAAGCGATTAATATTTCCATATTCGTCATAGATGAAGCCGTTATTTCTTTGACTAGCTCGTAGAATGCTTCTAAAGAATGGCTCACTCCGCAGTTCGGAAATCTCTTCTTCCTGCCTGTTTGATTGTGTATTGTAACAAAGTCAGAGAATACAGCATGCGCGATGATCCTATTCGTAACCTTAARCAACTCAGCCCTCGTCCCCTCAGAAACCCGGGGTTACTCCCTAATAAAAAAGGCGGGGGTCCTCGACGTCGCTTTTAGGGTTTGAAATCATTGTTTTGGTCCCGCTTAGAGCGATAAGTATGAGAATTCACACCAATTGAGTTTTGTGGTCCTTTTTAGAGTATACGACTACCCTAAGCCGTCATCATATACAGCTATTTCAAAAAAATGTTGTCGGAGAGAACGGCAAACTGTTCCTAAAAGTGATTGCATGCTTACCGTTTTCGMAGAACAACCAGCACAAAACAGAAGATGCAAATAAGGAACACTAGCAAGACACCAAAGCCTATGGCCAAGGCCATTTTAAGGTCAAACGTTGACTCCTCCTTCGTTCGAACATATTCCTAACAAATTATCAAAATGGACCATGAACATTATCAACTTGTGATCGTTGCTGAATTGCATAAATGTTCACTTACTTTGACACCCTTGATTTTCCATTCCTCAAAGAATTTCCTTTCTTTTCCATAGTTTTCGTCGATTGACCTGTAAATCAGTTAAAGAGTTAAGAAAGTTAGCAGTTAATGCAAAGAAAGAAACGTCTTTAAGATGATATGAATAAGTTATCCGTATTTTGTCTACACAATCACCCAAACACTAAATCATGGAAATACTGTAGGGTTAATCAATCTTAACACCGACGGATACTGGAAACTGATTGCTAATACATCTTTTAATGTGACCTCATTTTCCATATAAAAAATACCTATACTATGACCGCTTTGAATGYCAGTAGAAAATGAAGACAGACGGATAGAAACATCAGTGATTTACCTTATAAGAGTGTCTCTGTTTACAATTTTGTTTGTTTTGGGGTCGACTGCATGGAACAGAATTCCAGTCCTAAAGATAAAATTTCAATTTGTAAAAAACAAAACAAACTAGCTTGAGAATAAAGCATCATTGCCTGAAAAACCCAATCATGCAAGTAACCATGAACCCAAAATAACGTAAATAACACTACATATTGCAGTGGCGGATCCATGGCAGGTGGTTCCATATGTTCCCAGGAACCCACCTCGAGCATAAAAATATATATATATATGCAAATAAATGACAAATGAAATAAAATGAAAACGCATCGTAAACAATTGCATCTGAGAAGGATGAAGCTGGCTTATATCTTACAATATATAGGTAAGAGAGGCACAGTAAAAAAGTTCGTTTTGGGAAAATGCGAAAACAAAGTGGAACCCCACTTTGAAAAATCCTAGATCCGCCACTATATTGCCCCATGCCAATGATAGTTTTGTCCATGAATGAGAATGAGCTATAGAACTCAGAGCATTTTTTTTACATTTGTCAAGCTATTCCAAACCGAGGAAATTTTGTCCTTCCCATGATCGAAATATATATAAAAAAATAAMAGTCGCATCTTACCTTGATTTGTCATATTCTCCATTCTCATTTTGGTAGTAGTTGATATCGTCGATGTTGATGATGTATCCAGTAATATTTTCAAGAATTCTGAGATTGGTACAGAAATATTTATCAGATAGAATTATATAATTTAACGGCCCTGCTGGACACGAAGTCTGTTAGACCTTGTTCTCGATTATATATTCGAAATTCAAAATGGCGACTGTTAAATTAATCAACCAATCAGAATGTTCGTGTGAATCACTCGACCAATCAGAAATTTTACCGGCCGCCATTTTGTCGAAATAAAGGTGTACCAGACATCGTGCCCAGTGTCATTTTTTTCCTAGAAGTGAGGAGCGATTACCCCTGGGTTCCCTAGGATGGATAAGTGTATGAATTGTCTTACCTTTTGAATTCATCTTTGTTCAGTCTCACTTCTTCAGGTTGTCTACCTGAGATCAACACAGCTCGTTGTTTATCAACCAAGATATAAATCTAAATTGAATGAACATAATTAATACCAGATTCGAAATATATTAATGAAGGACAAATGGCATTTGAAAATAAAATCCGATAATTGCATTAGCCTAGCCTCCTCCCCAGGAAACCCTTTTTTAATCCTTTTTAACTGTGATCTTGGCCTCTAGGGACTAGTGACGAGCTTCCCTCTTTCGCCCCCAATCTCCCTCTTCTGATTCCCAAAAAGTACGGGAAGCCCGTGATTTTTAGTGATACCATTTGAGGAGGCTATACCATTAGCCCGTAAGGATACGAAATGGAAGTGATGCTACGATCCYGACAGAAAGCACAGAGCTGAATGATGCCATGATCGAAATTGYACGAGAGGTGTAGGAACACACTTCATATATCACCATAAACCGTAGTCATGCTTACCGTAACTGTTGTCGTATCATTGAAGTAAGGTTCTACCCCAAAATTATCTTTAGCTGTTATGGTAAAGGTGTACTCTTTACCAGTCTCCCCAGCGAAGGATGAAGCTGCTAATATCCAGCCTGTATCCTTTTCAACGCTGAATTTACTGTTATCGATACTGTATGCGATACGACTGTTATTTCCAGAATCTGCGTCTGTGGCCTGTAAATAAGAATCATTATCATGACTGTAGTTCACGTGGCTTGTCGCAGTACTGATGTGGCATTTGAGCGTTGTGATATCAAGGTGGATTTCCAAGCTTTGTTGATACATTAATCTTCGTTTTTCACTTCTTTTTCGAGTATTTATCGATATTATTGCTAGCTTATCAAAATGTTCTAAAAAGTCAATTATCCAATTCTTCCTCTAATGTCAAAACTCTATTAGTTTATTTTCCTAAAGCTTGTTATTAATTCCCTGTTTATTAATTTTCTGTTTGTGACTTGCTGGGTCTAGCTAGCATTGTTCTGATATTATATTTTAATAAGATCAATTGTCTACTTACAGTAACAAGCAGAGCTTTTGCGCCGTGTTTAATACTATCAGATACACCTGTATATGATAAACACAATTTAAGTATAATATATTTTTCTTGCTTTAAAGTCACAGCAGATATTGAACGGAGATATTCCCTTGTAATGAATGGACATATTCCAATATTTAGTCTTAAAGCGATAAAATGGGATTGCTAATGAATATCTGGAGTCAACTCATTTTCCATGTCTTAAAGGGCTACTTGGACGAAAATTGCGAAACATTAGAAAAGATGTAGACCTATCCATAAGGGTGCAATAATCATRAAGCAGCAGATTTCAAGAAGATATTGATACAAATCCTTCATAATTTGGGCAAAAATGTTTGAGTAGATGACGTCATTTTGTTCTTCCATCTTATGAATCAAAATTTATTTGATGTGGGTAATTCCAAAACAAATATTTGCCCGCAATTGTTTTTAATAGATATAAATGTGTCATATATTTGTATTGTTTGAAGTTTTGAAATAAGGACATTTTCATGCAAGTAGCACTTTAAGGGTGACCCAATCGAATGCTTGTCAACAATGGACGTCCTTTACTTGAATTACCACACGCCTTAACACTAATTAGCATAATATGTCACTCACTCCAATCTAATAACTGTTTTGATATCATGCCCTGTGACCCTATACAATAATTGCCTATATATACTCACCGCCAGTGTATAACGTATTTTTAAATTTCGGTCCATTGTCATTTTTATCACCGATTGTAATTGTTATCCGTAGAATGGAAGACGTCCCTATAATCAACGAAGATCGGYAAATGTTATAGAACATAACCGCCCCACAAATGACCTTTGCTCATAGATACTTTTGACGGGAAAATCAATTATATATTATATACCTAAAAAAAACATTCATGAGGTTTTCATGGACGAAAAAGATAAACCCAAGATCGTTTCATTGTATTGGAGTCCTTCAAAATCGAAGTAATATCCATGACTACGGACGAAAATCCACTCTTCACGGATTGATATATTAACTTRATTTACTTAGTTACCTGAGGTAGAGTTAGAGACAGATCTTCTTCGTCTTGCTCTGGGTTCTAAAGTTTGAGGATCTAGCTGCAATATACCAAAATACAGCGAGATTATTATTTGGTCGCATGGATCGGTCAATTTCTTCAAATTCTCTACAAGCTTGTAACATTGAAATGAAACTGACTGGTTGTCGACTCTAACAGACATCAGCCTCAATATGACATATGTTGTATGCAGTTTTTAGTATATATCTTATCAAAAATTATTCATAAGTCATTTTTCCATCATAGATCTCAACAGCTATGTGATGAGCTGAGTTTCGCGACTTCTTAGCGGAGCGTCCGTGTTTTGGGAAATCATACGAGAAGCCTTGCGCACTATGCTCTTATTTATTGTTCCATAACGCTAAAGCATAGCTCATAGAAGCTCTTCGTTTACAACTCATGTAAGTAGAATCAATTTATCTCGATAACGTAATTAATCAGTCTTGATTATATTTCTACTAAGCTATAAGAACATTTGTTTCGAATTGACTGATTGTCAATGAATACAATCACTGAATAACAAGACATAATGCCTTAAATTTCTTACTCTATAATTTGAAGCTTTGATTTCAAAGATGTAAGTTGCTCGTTCTTCACGATCCTAAAACAAAAATAAACAACTTTATATCAACAAGTAGTGCACTTGTGGTCGGTTGCAAACCAGTCACTTTTCCACTATATGATTTGGTATTATAATGAAATCAAGCATTCAAATCCTTTTTACCAGAGTTTTTTTAGTGGTTATTATTCCAGTATTCTCATCCAGTGCAAACAACTCTTTAGTACCACCTACAGAAACAAGTAAAAAATACAGTCAACTCTCCCGTAAGCGACCAACTCGGGATCAGCAAAAAGTGGTCGCTTACGAGAGATGGACGCTTACGAGAATGTTTTTTTTTATATGGGAAACTGAACAAAACGGGACATTTAAAAGGTGGTCGCTTATTTAAGCAAATGATGTTCATTCGAACAACTCGAAATTTTAGGTTAAGATTTTATTGAAACTTCGTCAGTATATCAATTATGTTATTAAAAAATGATTCTGAAAGTTTTATTACAATCTCTGTGATGAGTTTCGAGAAAATTAATTTTGAAGAAAAATGAAGGTGTTTTTTTTTATTTTGCAAATTTCTTCGCTTTTTGACAAATTAATTTATCAACGAGAATTATCGATAATCAATGTGACTTCTGTGAAAGTTTGAGTGCAATTGAATCTCTAAATTTGCGACGTAGTTGGAGTTTAAAAATACGCACGAAACGCTATTTATTACGATCGAAACACCTTAAGGATGAAAGGGTCAAATTATATTTGTTATCATTTATGTAAGACTACCACCTTCTTAGAGCCCTGCGCCCCTCGGCCCCGAGGAAAATCCTGGATCCGCCCCTGCCAAACAACTTCAAACAAAAGTATTGCAAATATTGAAAAAAGGGTATGGGCACGGGTTTTTTTATCATTTTCGTTGGTTGAGTTTGAAGGCGTTTCAAGGACCCTCCAATAAAAAACGCTGCTAATATTTTTTTGTTTAACTTGGATATTTAACTATATCAATGATCTTAGATTTACAAATGAACCTGTAATGGAATCACTTTTTTAGATTTATAAATTAATTAAACCTAGACAACATATTTACCAACGAAATAGTAATAAACTTTGTCAGTAGCGTCAAAATCTCTTGCAAACACCGTCCCCACTACCGCACCAGGGCCAACGTTCTCCGATACAGATAGTGTAGCATCATTCTATAAAACAAAGTAGTAATGTAATGTTTGTTATTACTAAGAAAATGCAGGCATGCAAATATGCAATGTAAGAATCATTATGTAGAGGGAAATAGTTAGGAAGGSTTTTGTTGTACGTTTTTGTGCATTTTTTTCAAGTGTGACAGTGCACAATCTTTTGTTTAACTATTGTATTAGCCAAACTGGTCACATCTGAATGAGAGTGAATTGTTCTTTTGACTATTTCCTCAAAATGTACAAGGCATTTCAACCAATATTKAAATATTTCACTTCATAATCTTATAGAGGGTGTTTATGTTTAGTCATTTAGCAATTTCCATTGCCCGTAACAAAARAAGTGCTAGGGGATGATAAAGATGTTTCAAAGTAGTTAAAACTACTTACCGAAGCAAACTTGGGAGAGTTATCATTCAAATCTATCACGATGATTTTCACTTCTTTTTGTGCTGTAAGAGCTGGATTTCCGCTATCTCGTGCTTGTATGATTAGCTAAACGTAAATGTAAACGTTTACGTGTAAGTTAATGATTAATTTTGAATCTCGCTAAGACCACTTGCTTCGCAGGTGTCAATTTTCCTGAAGGCATTTGCACGATCGTCTAATTTCCCAGTAACGCCTTGAAAGCAGGTCAAGACTTTTCATCAAAACAAGAGAATAATTGTGCCAGCAGTGATAGCTTTTGTCAAAATCAATTGCAGTCTCGCTTTGATACAAACTCTTGTCAAAGTCTCCTTTCAAGATGACGCATGGCACTGTTATGAAGACAATCCAGCGACAAGTAACATCAAGCAAAATTAGTTTCACATCAAGAAAGAATGCCATATTACTGGAAAAAATCGCGCGCTTTAAAGGTTGTGAATTTGATGTAAATATGATGTAAGTGTCCAAAATTCTGTAAATTTGATGCAAATGATTTCCATTAAACAAACAAAATGGCCGATTGTTCAGAAGTGTTTTGCTATGATGTCTGCAAGTTTCGGACGATTTCGTGGTTCAAAAGTTGAGATAATTACAAAAAAAGTCCAAACGTAATTCCAAATAAGGTAAGAATACCATATATGGTTCCTACACGAAAGTCATCTTTTCTGAGGSAATTCTTTGATATGATTATCACTTACGTCATACACTGGTATGTCCTCATGGTCAAGTACTTTTGCAGTCTTAAGAGWACCATTTTTGTTGTCGAGTACGAATGCACCGCCAGTGTTCCCGCTKATGATTACATACTGTATGACAGCGTTATTCCCTTCATCTTTGTCTGTTGCGCTGAATTGGTATATTTGCGTATTCACGGTGATGTTCTATACAGAAATTGAGTTAATAAAGCAAGGCAAACAAGCCTGCATTCTTAAATTGATTAGGGCTTTAGGTCCTTGGAGAATACAGGAACAAAAAAAGACAAGATAGGACAATTTGAAGAGCTGTAGAAATGTCAACATATTTCATGGTTTCTTTTGTATATATTGTGAACATGTCTTTGCGCAAGAGGGTCTGCTGTCATCTTAAACAGCGGGCGCTATCTTTGAAGGGGAAATATAGTAGAATTACGGCTTGCAAGTCATGCACAGGGCGTGGTTCCAGCTAGGAGCCCAACCTCCCTTGATACACGAAGTATTTAAAGTGTGAGACTTACTTTGCCAAATAAATAGTTACGCATTTTTGCTTAAATCAACATTTTTTTCTGGTCATCGCCATGGTTATATTCTTTTTATTGCTGATCTGGACATTTGGATCGAAAATGGACTCTTTCGTCCATACTTCTAACAACGTTTTCATTAATTACCTCAAATACACGATAGACTTCCATTCCAACCGATGTAAAGTTAGGATAGTTGTCATTCTGGTCTTTAATCCTCAAAGTCACGTTAGTTGTACTGGACAGCGGTGGAACACCTTTGTCTGTTGCCCGGACAACAAGATTGAACAAGGCATTTTTCTCTCGRTCCAATGACTTCAATTTTCTCAGTTTTCCAGTAACATTATTCAATGTGAAGTATCCTACAATRAAATGAAATATTGAGATTTTCATCATTTACAGTCAGAATTATTTTGCCATATTGTTTTCATTTCGGTTTTCTCAAGATACATACACAAAATGGTTTCAAATTATTCCGAGAACGGTGACATCGAGGATTTAAAAGTTCGAAATCGAGACTGTGAGATTTCCAAAATACAAGACCGACATTTTTTGCTTTGCAAACTATAAGTTTGGAAGAAAAGAGATAAGATCTTTTGGCAAATGTTACTGATTGCGATTCGTAATTGTAGATTTAATCGAATAAAAATAACAAGCTGAATATTGTTTCTCGCCTTCCCCCCCCATCTCTGACAAAAATTTTGGATAGATCCTGGATACATACCTTCATTATTGCCTGAAACTATGTCAAAAACGATCTCAGCATTAAGACCGATATCACCATCYTTGGCTGCTAATGTCAGTATGTCATCATTGACACCGGAATTCTCWTCTCCTATATCCTCTAGGATTGTTGTGTCGTACGGCAGATTGAGGAACACTGGAACCATGTCATTAACGTCAAGAATCTGGATTTGAAGCTGAAAACAAACAATAGCATATAAATAGTTGTATACTGATAATTATTTTGTAATGCTTGAAGAACGCTTTGTGAAATATAGCAATGATAATGATAATTTTCATAGATTATGATCGGTTCAAGCGAGCCCTTCCAAACCTGATTTATTATGTTATTATTTTTATTTTATGATGTTATTATTTTCGCTTCTTGCTTGAAATAGCAATTTATTGAATGAACTAGCATTTATTGATGTTCATTGTTTAGAAAAATTGCAAGATTTGTGATGACCCCTTATGATCCCCAGGGCATTCGTCTTCAGTTAATACTATTAAACGTTCGTAAAGGAAGACGCGGCTAGCGATGTCCATTTGATGACCCTATTTTACCTCTTTTAAACAAATTTCTGACCAAGACAAAGCTCATCATCATACCTTAGCGGTTCCTTTTTGTTCCGTCGCATTCACCATGCTAACGGCTGCGACGGTCAATGAATAATCTTGCTTCTTTTCCCTATCAAGGCATTTCCCATCTCCACATAATAGATACACCGTCCCATTTAGTTGGCCAATCCCAAACATGTTACCATCATTACCACTTTCTATCCTATATAGAATATTGCTCTGGGCTTGTGCACTATCGGAGTCCGTTGCGTTAAGCTGGGCCACTAATCTCCATTGTGTAATGTTCTCCAATACGCTTACTTTGTACTCGTTTTGGGTAAATACTGGTGCATTGTCATCGACGTCTTGGACGTTAACCGTGACGAGAGTAAAACCGGTAAGTGGGATGTCTCCACTGTCTTTAGCTGATATGTTCAATTTGAATACTTTGGTGACTTCAAAGTCTAATTTTCCTTTTAAAATTAAGACACCACTTTGCTCTGAAGACAATAAYAATAGTAACAGTTATTGAATGTCATTTAGACATAGCTAAAGTTAAGCATAATTTCTTTTTAGATTTCCTAATATGATATGCCATTTGTTCTTTTTGTGCATTACAATTTTCTTTTTTTAACATTCGGCAAAAGGGCAGGTTTGAACGCCATGCAAACATAGAAAAAACGATAGCAGACAAGCCAGGGTTAACAACAACAACAAAATACATTTGAGAGAATAATGCAATATTCGAGAGCATGCAATCAGCGTTTATATGTTTGGGCTGACATTGAATAGGAGCTCGCAGTGTTTCAGCCGGTGTCTAGTTGCGCACTTGCAGTTATGATGTTCTGCGAAAATATTAGGCCGCAAGGCAATGGATATCTCTGTGTATTTTATTTATTTTGTACCATTTATTGCGAAGATACTGTTGTCATCTCCTGATTCGATCTTGTATTTTATAAGACCATTTCGACCAATGTCAGCATCAGTGGCACTAACAGTAACCACAGTGGTATCCTGAACAGAAACGAAATTATAAAAATATAATCATAACAGCTATGAAACAAAATGAAGGCAAAAACTAAGGAGAGGAGA